GGGGGGGGGGGGGGGTGCGCGGAGCATCAGCCCTACAGGGTTAAATGGTGCTAAAGTCTGATTTTGTTTGGCAACAAACAGGCCAGGATGTGTTATTTCTGTCCCTTCTCTGCCTAATTAACTGCATTGCTGGGCAGAAGTGGACTAGATGTCACCTAACTCTTTCGTCATCAGTCTCAAACTCTCCTGGAGTTCTCTGTCCCCTAGATCTGCAGTTCTCAAGAGTGGCTGGACATTAGAATCACCTCGAAGCTTTAGCAAACTCCAGATGACCGAGCCCCACCAAGAATGGAACCTATATTCTACAGACTGATCCGCAAAGAGGCGAATCTACAGAGTCTTTAACTCTTTTTTATCCAATTGCATCCACAGTGTGGATCCTTCCAGCCTGAGGTTCCCAGAAGCCACGTCTACTTACAGGAAAATGATAATAAGGAGCAACATACAATGGGAACATTCTCTGCCCTGTCTGCATTTTTCAACTGTTCCACTCTCCTTCCTGCCTCTCTGAAAACCCCAGGGCCAACAGGCATTTCTTCCCCCTGTGTACTTTCCACATGGCAAAACTAATTTGATGGAAAGAGAGAGAGAGAGAGAGAGAGGAGGGGGTCAAATGCCTTTTGCAAAAAGGATGTCTGCTCAGAGCCAGGAGACAGGATGCTGTGGTCCTTCGGGCAGATTTGGTGTGAAAACAACAGACACACAGTGTCACTATCATCAAGGCCCCTGGGATTGGGAAAAGGGGCTTGGGTCTGTAGCAAAATAATGGTGGGTTGTTCTGGGTTGTTCCCCAAAGCGCCCAGGCCGGCAGGGCTGTAGGTCTCCTATCTGTGTGCCTAAGAGAGAGAAACAGATTTTAAATTAAGGGGGCAGATGAAATGGACAAATCAACCAGTGCGGTCAATTCTAAGGCTGAGAAGACACACACCTCCGAAGGTCCCTCTTTCGCTGTGAGGCAGGTGCAGGGAGGGGAGTGTGAAGACGAGCTGAAAGCCTCTGGTCTGAGACCAGCCCTGGGGGCCAGGCCAGTAACCATGACAATGGGAACGGCAGGCTGGGTCTCCTCAAAGGGCAGTGCCACGATTCTGTGCCATACGCCTCCCCAGGATGATCCGCACTTACAATGCTTTTCACATGAGCGTGTATGTGCGTACATGCGTGCACGTGCTGTGCACAATCGGGGGGAAGAGGGGGTGCTGAGGAGAAACACAGGAAGGGGAGAGAGAAACATCAAAGATAAAATCAATCTTTGAGTTTATTTTCAATCAGAAGTTTGACCTGGCTTCCCCTTAGTAACTCTGGCTCTTACTTTTGCTCATAAAGACTAACTACGGCTCTTTCAAAAAGGAAGACAGTAAAGGGGCGCCTGGGTGGGTCAGTCGGTTAAGCGTCCAACTTGGGCTTGCGGTTGGTGGGTTCGAGCCCCGTGCCAGGTTCTGCGCTGGCTGTGCGGAGCCTGCCTGGGATTCTCTCGCTTTCTCTTGGTCCCTCCCCAGCTTGTGCTCTCTCTCTCACACAATAAATAAATACACTTTTTAAAGTAAAAACAAAAACCAAAGGCCACCAAGGGCTTTAGTTGGGGGTGGGGGAGGGGTCTGGCAGAAGGGGCGTGTCTTCAGGAGCTCCAGCCCACTCCCATGTGAAGAATGCATGGCATTAAGGACAATGCCTGACAACAGAAGAGCCGTCCCTGGTTCAAGCGCTTCTGCTCTGTGGAGACTGGAAACGGGCCGAGGCGGCCGGCAGCTGATTCACCAGTGGCCAGAGAAGGGCCCGTCTGCTCAGCCTCATTGATCATTCCAGCGGCTCCTGAACGAGCCACTGTGGGGCAGACACCAGCCTTAGCTCACTAAGATAACGTCAGTCTGGGGGCGACCGACAGACGCTGGATGCAGTGGGTGACATTACTGGGGGGTGGCGGGACACTCAAGGCCAGACACGGAGATGGCCAAGGGTTCTGCAGCTGTCGCTCCTTTCCCTCCCAAGCAAATCAGGCCTGCTCTGCTGGTTGTGACCGTCTGAGCTGGGCCATCCAGAAGCACAGGTTTTGCCGTTGTTTTTAAAGCCACAAATTAACTCACAGACACATGCATCGAGCAGTTTCTCAGTGACGCGGTAGAGGGTAGGACAGATGGTCCCTGAACCATTTATCTCAAAGTCGGCAGACATATTCCTCAAAATGTTGGATCCCAGGCCATTCTGGTGCTTTGACATCCAGACCCTTGGGGAAGAGGCAGTTGGGGACCGGGCTCGGATGCACACTGAATGCTGAGAGCCACTGGGGCAAATTCGGCGAAGGCATTCACAGCACTTACGGGGTACCTGACGGTACTGAAGCCAAAATGTTCCATCTTTAGGGGACCCGTCTTTTCTTTCCTCCTGAATACCATTTTTTTGCAAGGCTCCATCCCTAGTTTAGTGAAAATACCACCTTCCTCATCACTGTCTCCAAACAAACTTTGCCAAATGAAGGCTGCAAATCCAAAGATTCAGAAGGACTCTTAAGAAAGCCAGTGAACTGAACTGATAACAGATCCAGTCACTTCATGCTCACGATGACTTCCAAATTAGGAAACTGAGTCTCGAGAGAGGGTTGACTTTCTCCGGGGCCACGTGGCTTCTAGGTGGCAGAGCTGGGACGTGACCGCAGGTCTACTGTTTCTTCTTTACCCACCTTCAGCCTTTGTTTCTCTGACAAGTGAATCGCTTTAACACATCTGGGCCTCACCATGATTTTGGGAGAAGTGATGGATGAGTTCCATCGCTTCTGAACTTTGCTATTTCAGAAGCCGAATAACCAAAGCCTGATACCATGTGAAAGACCCAGGTTGTTTAAACTGTGCTCACATACGGACTTGTGGAGGAAGTAAGCTCAAACTTTGTAAGATCTATTGTTCTAACTCCAGAGTCTGGGTAATCATCATTACAGGCAATCACGATTCCAGACAGCTCTGTGCTGCAGGGCTGAGCCTCCGTGTGAGCCGTCATCGGAACAGCTACCCCAAATAATGATCTCTATTGTCAAAAAAAAAACACAAAAACATCATGGGGATTCAGATCCTTCCCACTTGCACACAGTGCCACAAGTTTGAGAGAGCTGCACAGTTTAAGAAAAGGCACAAACGTATCTGGGGAAGCCAAGGGTTTTTCTCAGTTTGTCCTATTGCAAACTCTCCGAATGGGCACAGTCAAGTGACTCAATATAGTTCGACCTCAAATCTTGATCTTAGAAAAGGTGACCCCGAGCCAGAACCTCTGGGTATATAGTTTATTAACTGAGCACCACCAACACCTGAAATGTCCTCCTTGCCAGAATTACTAGACCCAAAGTTTTAGGCTCAGGAGAACCGCGAGCTATGATTTTTCACTAAATTGCACCCCCATCCCCTGCCATCCCCCGCTGCCAGTGCTGCACTCAGGCTCTCATATATCTCCACCCTAAAGCACCAACCAAGCGGGTGTCATCTTCCAACCAATCTCTGTCTCATCCCTTCCTGTCCCCTTTCTCTTCCTCCATTGGTCTCAATGCCATTCCTAAATATCAAGATGTGAAAAGTGGGGCAACCCTTTGTAATACACATGACCCATTCTGAATGGAGTCCTTCCCCAAAGATATGACTCAGGACATCAAAGCCCCAGCCCAGGAATCAGAATTTACACGTGCTTTTGCCTTTACCATCAAAATGGATGAATGCCACATAACCACATAACCACGGGGAAACATCTGGCCCTCTGACTTAACATGATACCATGTGGTTTTTCCAGCTGTGAAATGGGCGCAATTCCTGCCTGTCTCCGCTCTGGCAGTGTGGAGAGAGGAACGAGCAGGGGGTGACACAATTTGGCATTCTTGGGACTTTCCCACGGGGTTCACATCACTGTAAATGCTCTGTCAAAACGCTTCCAGCTTTCTCCACTCTCAACACGTGGACCTCGAAGCAACTGCCTTACGATGTGCAAAGAGCCCGCCGAAAAGAGAGTCCGAGATGTTCTATCTTCAGGTGCCCTGCGAGCTTCACACCAAGTGGTGCCAAAGTTGTAACTGCACACAGGAAGGGAGATACAATGAGTCTAGCTTTTCACCGCCTCAGAAAACTAGGGTCTAGAGCTGAGTGTATTCTGTGATCCATAGCACAGCTAAGGTATCGGGACAATGTTCTGGACCAGCGGCCGGCAAACCGTGTGGGCTGTTTCTTGTTTGTTAAATGAAGTTGTGGTTGTGGTTGTTGTTAAATTACAGTTTCGATGGAACACGGCTCTACTTCTTCATTCTGTGGCTTTCGCCGCACGGCAGTAGCATTGAGTACTTTCGACACAGACTGCATGGCCTGGCAAAGTTGAAAATATTTACTGCCTGACTCTAAAAATAAATAAATAAAAATAAAAATAAAAATAAAAATAAATAAATA